ATTTATATATTTCTCTGTTTTACTGTACATTCGGAAACTTTTTTTCCCCCGTCACGGTATTTCTGTCTGAAATGCTATGTAATTTGTTATTCACAAAGGGAAAAAAATATATATATACTTTCCTATCACGCTCACATTTATCGTCCAAAATTCTATAAAATTTATCATTCGTAAAAGGGTAAAAAAAAAATCCTGTCCCATTTACATCTGTCGACCGGAATGCTGTGAAATTTATCATAAGTAAAAAAATATATATATTAATAATGAAATAAAAAAAACGATTTCCGAAATGCAATGAAATTTATCATTCGTGAAGAAAAAAAAAAGGTGACAGCAGAATTCACCCATTACCTATTAAATTAAAAGATCAGAAACCTTAAAACTATTCACTGGATACCCTCCTTCGTTGCTTAAGAATTCACTCTATTTTTTTTCATTTTTCACCTTTCTTTCTATTTTCTATTCCCTTCCTCCCTTATCCTGACCTTAACCCTCCCTCCTCCATCCTTCCCTTAATCCTCCCTCCCTTTCTCGCTCCTTCCCTAAACCAGACCCTATCCCTTACCTCGTCCGACCATGACCCAGACCAAGAGCAAAAACGATGTGTAAGAAGGGGAGCTTACCCTATGCACCCTTCCCTCTCTCCCTCCCTCCCTCCCTCCCTCCCTCCCTCTCCCTCCCTCCCTCCCTCTCTCCCTCCCTCCTTCCCTCCCTCCTTCCCTCTCTCTCTCCCTCCCTCCCTCTCTCCCTTCGTCCCTCCCTCCCTCCCTCCCTTCGTCCCTCTCTCCCTCCGTCCCTCTGTCCCTCTCTCCCTCCTTCCCTCTCTCTCCCTCCGTCCCCCCTCCCTCCCTCCCTCCTACCCCCTCCCTCTCTCTCCATCCCCCTCTCCCTCCTTCCCTCCCTCCTTCCTTCTCTCCCTCCGTCCTTCCCTCTCTCCCTCTCTCCATCCCTCCTTCCCTCCCTCCTTCCCTCCCTCTCTCCCTCCCTCCCACCGTCCCTCTCTCCCTCCCTCCTTCCCTCCCTCTCTCCCTCCCTCCCACCGTCCCTCTCTCCCTCCGCCCCCCCCCCCCCATATCGACCGCCCTTGAGTCTCAGTCTGGCTTCGCTCCGGCTCATGCGATCGGAGCTCCTTGCCTGGCGCGGCGTGTGAGGGAAGCAAGACCAGGGACCTTTTTTTAAAAGTAGGAGGAGAAGGAGGAAGGAGGAAGGGGAAAGGATGATGGAGGGAGAAGGATGAAGGAAGGACAAGGATGATGGAAGGAGAAGGATGAGGGAGCAGAAGGAGGAAGGGGAAAGGATGAAGGAGGGGGAAGGATGAAGGAAGGAGAAGGATGAAGATAGGAGGATGAAGGGGGAAGGATGTAGGAAGGAGAAGGATAGATATAGGATGAAGGAGGGAATAGGATGAAGGAGGGAGAAGGATGAAGATAGGAGGATGAAGGAGGAAGGATGTAGGAAGGAGAAGGATAGATATAGGATGAAGGAGGGAGATGGATGAAGGAAAAAGGAGGGAGAAGGAAGTAGGAGGGAGAAGGGAGGAGGATGAAGGAGGGAGAAGGATGAAGGAAGGGAGGATGAAGGGGGGAAGATGTAGGAAGAGAAGGATAGGAGAACGGTGAAGAGGGAGAAGGATGAATGGGGAAGGATGAAGGAGGGAGAAGGATGAAGGAAGGAGGATGAAGGGGGAAAGATGTAGGAAGAAGAAGGATATAGGATGAAGGAGGGAGATGGATGAAGGAGGGAGAAGGAGGAAGGAGGGAGAAGGAGGAAGGAGGGAGGAGGAGGAAGGAGGGAGGAGGAGGAAGGAGGGAGAAGGAGGAAGGAGGGAGAAGGAGGAAGGAGGGAGAAGGAGGAAGGAGGGAGGAGGAGGAAGGGGAGAAGGAGGAAGGAGGGAGAAGGAGGAAGAGAAGGAGGAGGAGGAGAGGAGGAAGGAGGGAGGAGGAGGAAGGAGGGAGGAGGAGGAAGGAGGGAGAAGGAGGAAGGAGGGAGGAGGAGGAAGGAGGGAGAAGGAGGAAGGAGGGAGAAGGAGGAAGGAGGAGGAGGAGGAAGGAGGGAGAAGGATGAAAGGAGGGAAGGATGAGCAAGGAGGAGAAGGAGGAAGGAGGGAGAAGGAGGATGAAGGAGGGAGGAGGAGGAAGAGGATGAAGAGGACGGAGGAGGGAGAATGATGAAGGAGGGAGAGGAGGAAGGAGGGAGAAGGAGGAAGGAGGAGGAGGAAGGAGGAGGAGGAGGAAGGAGGGAGGAGGAAGGAGGGAGAAGGAGGAAGGAGGGAGGAGGAGGAAGGAGGGAGAAGGATGAAAAAGGGGGAAGGATGGAGGGAGAAGGAGGAAGGAGGGAGGAGGAGGAAGGAGGGAGGAGGAGGAAGGAGGAAGAAGGAGGAGGATGAAGGAGGGAGGAGGATCATTGGGTTTGTGATGAAAATAGTTGGTGGTGGTTGGAGCAGTTTTTAGCTTTGTATAATGTACTGTATTATCATATTTAGTAATATGAGTGCAACGAAGAACAATACAAAACCTCTGTGATTTCTGTTGCTGTTTTTTTATAGGTTTACATATATATATATATATATATATATATATATATATATATATATATATGTGTGTGTGTGTGTGTGTGTGTGTGTGTGTGTGTGTGTGTGTGTGTGTGTGTGTGTGTGTGTGTTAATTTATCCATTTGTTTGTGTATTCATTATACTTTGCCACCATTAACTAAACATTGAATCCCTCATCATCACTTTCAAAAGAATAATCACTGCTTAACCCCATCCCGAGTACCACACTTGCAACACACACACAGAATATCTTCCCTCCCACGCACCCCTGACGCCCTTCGTCTTTGCAGGTGATCAGCTGCAACAAGAACATCTGCACGCTGCAGATCACCGACACGACGGGCTCGCACCAGTTCCCGGCCATGCAGCGCCTCTCCATCAGCAAGGGCCACGCCTTCATCCTCGTCTACTCCATCACGAGCCGCCAGAGCCTGGAGGAGCTGAGGCCGATCTGGGAGGTGATTCGGGAGATCAAGGGCAACGAAATGGAGTTCCCGATCATGCTGGTGGGGAACAAGTGCGACGAGAGCGACGCCCGGGAGGTGCAGAGCTCGTACGGGGAGGCGCAGGCGAAGGCGTGGAAGTGCAATTTCATGGAGACGTCGGCCAAGACCAACCACAACGTAAAGGAGCTGTTCCAGGAGCTCCTCAACATGGAGAAGAACAGAAATATGTCGCTGCAGCTGGACGGCAAGAAAAACAAATCGCAAAAGGGCACACGCAAGATTAAAGAGAAGTGTCTCGTGATGTGAGAAGGCCCGGTCGGGTGCTTCGCGGGGGCAGAGAGTGTGCTGTGGCCTAACTGTGATGTTCCAAGTTCAGATTCCACGGACGCTCTACCGCGCACCTCCTCTCTCCCCCTCCGTCGGGCGATTCACTGTGAACATTGCTATATTTTGGTGTTAAAAATGTTCCGCGGTGGAGTTCTGTGTAACGTGTGAAGGTCACAGATCAGTCTAACCATTAGACGTCAACATGTCATAATATTCTCAGCACAATTTACAAGGCAATACTTTAAGATAAATAATGAAAAAAAAAGTTACTTGACATAATATGTAATGATCCGGTTCGATCACCAAAAATGGTGAAGTATGTTATGTACCTGTTTTGTTTATACCAAAGAGCATGGACTAGTCATACACTGTTATATGTGCTTCATAGGGACCAGTTCCGTTGCACACTTCCCAGGCATGATGGACTGTACAGTAATGGTTCCCTTCCGTTGTTAAGACGGCATTTAGACTATACTTTAAAATCTTTACTATACTACAATGGCAACGATCCTCGACAAACGTGATTTTGACACTCTTTCGTCCCCCAATAAAAGAGTTTCGTGATAGCTAGACGATATTAGGATAGCTACAAAGTCAGGATAGTTAACGTTGTTTATACTATTATTCAGGTTTCTGTGTGACTGTTCTCCCTTAACACATTTCCCCCCCAACCCCCCTAGCCTCGATAGACGAACTCTAGCCACCCCCTGTTCTGACGAGATGTACCTTCTGATGGACTTCGGGCGGCAATCATCTTGACTTCAGTACCGGTACTGTTTCAGCTTGGTTGGCTTAAGTGCCCGCTGGTTTTTCCATTTGCGGAGTGTGGATACTACCTTTTATCCTGTACATAAATGAGACATATATACATATACATCAATACCTATATAAATATATGCACACGACCATACACACATATATATAACATACATGGATGTTACACACCGACACACACACACTTAAATATGTGTATAATTTAGCACTAATTTTAGATCTTTTAATAGTAATAACACATTGTATACAGAGTCAAGTGATCAAGTGATTTGTAACCAGAATCAAACATGAAGCTATCCAGATACAAGTCAACATCACTGTTGTATATATAGGTGCTCCCTGACACCCGCGCTCGAGACGTATTTTATCACGCCGCAGCACCACCGCCGTCGCCCTCCCTTCCGCCTGGCGAATAGCTCCCTCAACACTAACAGGGCACATACTCACTCGTTCTGTTAACACCAAGTTTAAAGCGATGATTTTTTTTTCTTTTTTTATTGTTATTTGGGTTTTGTTTGTTAATTTGTAGAGAAAGAGGAAGATATATATGTGTGAAGAAAAAAGGCGATAATAGTCATTTGAAAAAAAAAAAAGTTTATGTTAGGGGGGCCGGAGCATTACAAAGCTTCCTGGTAGAGTGAAGTTCTTCCATTGTGGATATCTTTTTCATGCGAATGGATCGTTATTCATCTAATTCCTGAGGTGACTGTCGATTAACGTTAAATCCACTCTTAGAACACCGAATACTTCCAGTGTTAAATTTCTACAACGACTAACTAGTCCTGTAATGGCTAACTACTTATTAGAAATCACAAGACAGTAACTTGTCTGATACTCTTATGATAAATCATAATATACGACACTCACAAAATGTAGGTTATTCTTTAAATGACAAGGAAATCTGTCTTATTATAGAATTTGATGGTTGTAGTTGTTAAATCCACTCTTTAGACACCGAATACTTCCAGTGTTAAATTTCTACAACGACTAACTAGTCCTGTAATGGCTAACTACTTATTAGAAATCACAAGACAGTAACTTGTCTGATACTCTTATGATAAATCATAATAATCGAAACTCACAAAATGTAGGTTATTCTTTAAATGACAAGGAAATCTGTCTTTATTATAGAATTTGATGGTTGTAGTAACTGCTCCATAAAGGAATTGGGAACAAATTGTCTCCAAAAGTTATATATATTTTTTATGGGAATATAAAGTTACTTTTAAGGTTATTTGATTTACAAGACATCACTATTAATTAAAGATAAAAAAGTTCCTTTCAAGCGTCAGTCTCCTGGCGAAAAATAAGTCAATTTTCCGTGATACAAATTTTTGTATAGTTTCCATCAACATGGTAGATCTGTATATTAAAAAAAAAAAACTTCTAAAGATGGGACTGTTGTATTGAACAATTTGGCATCTGCATTGGTGTAAATCGGTACAGCATACTAAAGCAAGGCAGATATGTATATTGTGTACATATATATATACATATATCTGTGTGGTGTAACAACCTAGTTCCTCAGTGACATTAAAATGTTTCATGTTCGTTATTTCTTCATAACCGTAATGGTTTTTAATAGTTTTTTGTTCATTATTACACTCATGTGATGACACCGATTTGTGAAAAAAAATGTTATTTGGCACGAAAAAACACACAAAAAAAATCTTGTGGGATTTTTGAATCATAACTTCAGAAGTGTTTGTTGTGGTTTAACTGCAGAAGGTGATGCTTTTTGAGTTCTTGGAGACGTCACTGCATAATAATATAATCAGGGCCTTATCATTGTTTTAGATATTATAGAAAAATAACAAAAAACAAAAAAACAAAAAACAGAACTTGAAAGTGACATCTTGTACTACTGCTACTTAAAGTGTATTTGATTTTTTTCTCTTTTTTGTTTGTTTGTTTGTAAAAAAAATGTAGTGATACAGCATACCTACTGAATAATTGTTCTTTCAGTGATTAGAGTTGTACACTATATTTGTTATATGATATTTTTAAAAATATTTTTGCTTTTGTACTTTTCCCCATACGCAAACATGTTATTGTTATTGTTTTGAACATTATTAAGACCTTCCTACCATACAGAAAAATATTGTAAATCTCACTACCATTTTGTAAATTAAAATCACTAACGAAAGCAAAAAAGATGTAAAAAAAAATGGTCACGTTTTCGATTATCCAAAACTTGTTAAATGAAAACAAACTTTGCATCCCTTGTCTTGTATTCCTTAATATTTACCAGACTTTAGCACTGCAGTGTGTGTTGCTGTAGGCTCTGTCGGCCTCGTACTTACTTGCACTGAAAATCGTAAAGCTAAAATCATACACACACGCGACGGCAACGTTCAGAGGAATTCTGTGGTATCGTTCCGTAATGCTAACCATATTTATTATTTCTTTTTCACCTTTTTATATGATTTTTTCTCTCTCTCGCCCTCTCTCCCTGCAGTGCTATCGCTTTTTTTTCTTTCTTTCTTTCTTTCTTTCTTTCTTTTCATGTTTTTCATACCTGTTTCATTATTTATTTAATTTATCTATTTATCTGTATTTCTCTCTTCCCTTAGCTATGTTTTCTCCTTTTTCACTCTTACATGTTTCATATTTTTGTTTTCCTTTATGTCTCTCTCTCAGTTTTTAATATTTGACAATAGATATTTCTCTTTATATATATTTTCTTTCTTATTTTCTTGCAAATTGTTACTATAGTAGTTTGGATACATTACTTATTGTTTTTTTTTTCATTTTGAGGACGACATACCACTGAATTGTTGTTTTATGTTAAAGACAACATTTTCTCCCTTTTACTGGTTAACATTTTTTAGCACTTTATTCGCGTGTGTTTAAATGTACATTCTGCAAATTGAATGTATCTTTGAAAGAAAAAGATGTACTTCTGAATAATTTGTAAGATATTGTTGATAAAAAGGCGAATCTACTTAAATATCTTCAGTAAATTTCATCACACTCTCAAAATGCTGTTGAACATACCTCAATCTTCCCGTGAATAAAAAAAAAAAATGTTTTCGTGATCGCCAGCTAAGAATGATTTTGATAAATAGATTAAAAAAAAAATATATTGAAGGAAAAACTGAAAAATAAGCCGTTTTTTCTCCCATCTTCGGTGATTTTACTGGTACAGAGGTCGTAGAAACTTTCTGTTCTTTTTAAAAATAACATGAGTTCAAGAAATAAAAATAAAACTTCACACATTCTTTTTTCCAAATAGTCTTCTTCGTTACTATTATCATTTTTGGTCCTATTTGTCAGTTTATACTGAATGTAGAGTTATATATTTTTGCACTAATCAGTAAATAAACTTAAAAAAAATAAAATATATATACGCAAACGGAAAGCAAACGGACATATACAACACCCACCCCCCTCCCCCTTACCCCCCACGGCAACCAAAGAGAGTTCACACACACCCTTACAAGAAGAGGAGGGAGGGATACAGAAGCTACAGTAGTGACTTCTACTTCATTTTCTCTTTTTTTAAGTATATATATATATATGTATATATATATGAATGTTCTGTCTTTCTTCTTTCATTCTTTCTTTTCCTTTTTGACTTTCTTATCGTTTGTCTGCATCTGTTTCTGTCTCTTTCTCTTTTTCTCTTTTAATCTCTCTCTCTCTCTCTCTCTCAGCGACGCCCGACCCTTTCGCAGCCGAGAAGTAACTTGGATTTACTAATAGTGACAACATAAAAATAAGAGTTTCTTCAACTAATACGGCTTCCAGAGGGAATAAGATCTAACATAAACCTCCAAAAAGGACTACCCATTGATTCACACCCAAAAATAAGTGTCTAAAAACGTGTGTATACATACATACATTCGTACATACAAAGCCATAGCTTACATGTATGAACGTATGCATATATGTATGTATGTACGTATGTATCAAAGCACCTAATACCAATAATATATATATATATACATATATATATATATATATATATATATATATATATATACATACATATATATATAATCGGGCAATCCAACGTCGAATCTCGAAGCTTCTTATCCTGTTCCGATCTTTTTTTTCATTCCGAGTCATGATTCGAAGCTCCTGGCATCCCCCCCTTGTTTTGTACGGTATCTCGTCGACCCCGAGTCATTCTACGCATGTTCATGATAAACATTTGTGACTGTAACGTTTAAGTGTGTACATAGATTATATTCATTGAAATATATAAATGTATAATTACTTGCGCGTGTGTTACTATACTATTAATAATAATCTTGAGGACAACGGTTGTAAGCTTTAATTTAAGAAACGAAACTTGACTTCATTATCCAAAGCTCAAATTTTGTATATGCTTTCCGATGACTGAGATATGTTCATTGTTCTGTATAAAAAAAAAAACAATATCCACATTCAGTCTCCTGGTAAACATCTCATTTTATACAGTAACGAAGCTGCTCCTAAGTACCGTAATACTGTGTTGAAAATGCCACTTCACGCTAACCATGTAACCAGTCAACTTAGCAACATAAACGCTATGGTAAATCTATTTTTTTTCCTATTCAGCAACATCACAATTCGATATTTTGATTCAGCAATAACGCCTTTTTTTCTTTTTTTTTATTCGCCGATAGCGTAATATGATTAAATAATTATATTTGGCATATTCAGCATAGTACCCCTTTTTTTGCCAATTTTCCCAAAGGAGGAACATATCTTAAACTTAACATTAAGCGAACGAAAAATATTATACTTGCAAATAATTATTACCATACCTAACTGTGACATTAAGAAAACATAGCTATTAGGAACAAATTCTATGTGTATGATTTTTTTTTCTAAGCTATACTCAAAGATAATTGTGATAACTTCAAGAGAAAAAGATAAACAGAAAGAATTGCCAAATCTGCTGTATGAAAACAACAACAAAAAAATCACAATGAACATCAAAATGAAATTCAACATTTTCTTATAATTAAAACAACAGTTATCATTAATACTTGGTAAAGATAATACAGTTATTAGGGTGAAGTTTTGATAAAGTAGAGAGATGTTTTCTCCTTGATAAGTCCCTCTGGTAGGACGGCTTATGGTGTTCTTACTACAAAACTGTTTTTTCTAAAACTGTTGATATTAGGAACGTTAGCCATCAGCAAGAAAAAGTTTATTCAATGATGATAATGGCGGGGGGTGAGAAGAAAAAAAACCCGCTGTATTTTTATTGTCTTTGCAAGTTGAATTTCTTCCTCGTAAGATGAGAGAGAGAGATATATGGGTGGTGGTAGTTTGGTAATTTGTAATTCATAAATCTTATTTCTGGTATACAGTATCTCCAGCATAAAAATAAATGCCAAAAGACGACGCTTTGTGTTTTATTTTCCATCCATTACCATGCAATGTGATGTTGTGGGCAGTCTGTTAGAGTAAAATGGTGACGCATTAACTCGTGGAATGAAAAGAGTACCATATAAGTAAGTATTCATTATTATCGTAACTTTTCAATCTTCGACATAAAGTAATTATAATCGTATTGCTAAGTAAATCCGTCAGCTAATGAATAGTAGTGTCATGTCTTTGATAATTACTATATATAAATGCATCATCTAATCAAACGTAACGATACATTTGTGATAAATGCAAGGCCGAATAGGATCGATCAAAGCCCAGATGATGATCTACGTAACAGAGATATATAGAGAAAGATCGTAAGAAAGAAAGAAGGCGATGCAGAGAGACATATTTATCAGAGAAAGACAAAATAAAAGAGAGAGAGAGAGACAGACTGATCAAGGAAAAGAAGAAAAAAAAGTCAAAACAAATTCTAAAAATAGGAGCTATTGACTAGTCGAGGTCGAAGTCATCAAAATTACATGAGTGCCCCCTTATGTTCCGACCCATAACAGCTTGTAGAAAATGAAAGTGC